ACACCCAGAGCCCGGAAAGCCCCATATCCTCCGAGGTGACGGAGGTGGCAGGCGAATGCGCGCCTGGTCGACCGGCCTTTCTCATCTCCAGGTGTGTTGTTTGTTTTCGGGGGTTGAGGGTTTTGGGGGGGGGGCCGAGCTTGTAGGCCCGAAACCTAGCTCTTAAACCCGAAGCCAATCAGGGAATCCACCACAGCACAGAGATTGCCCCAGATTTGCTGAGGACATGTTTTCGAAGGAGCCGCTTGTCTCAGCTGAAGCTTCATGACAATGATATGAAGACCTAAATCTTCAAACCATAAAACGCCGACCTCGGCCCCATTCTTAGAACCCCTGTTCCGTTATTGACGTGTTGCGGTCACTCATGAACATATATATATATGGTAGCATAAATATATACACATATATATATATATATATATCATATATATGTGCATGCCCAACTTCAAACCGCGCAGAAGAGTGAAAAGATAAACAGGCCTGAGGAACCCTGAGTGGCTCCTACATTGAGCGTTTCCAGCCCGAAACCTTCTAGCCTCCACGGGGCCTCCGGAGCTTTTTGAAGATGTAGGGTTCAAGGACCCGGGAGCAGGGTTCAAGGTTTCGGCTTTGTGGGTTTAAGCCTAAGACCTTTCGGGTATACAGTGTGTCGTTCAACCTCTCTGCATTCCATGCCACCCTATAACACCCTGAACCTTAATCGGAGACAAGGTCGCTGCCCTTTCCTCCGCCTTCACGGGCTCACCTCGACTCGAGGAATTCGGGCTCGGGGCTGCAGACTTTTCCACACGCGCACACACGTTACTGGCAGCGACTTGTCTAGCTCACTTGTGCATGCTCAAGTACAGCTCATAGCATCCAGTTGTAGAAGAAAGAGGAAGAGCTGGGGGAGATAGGGACGGGATGAAAACACCATGACATGCTATGACATGAGCCATGATCATGTCTGCATAAAATGACATGTTCGGAGGACGAAGAGATAACAAAGCAAACAACAACCTTATGCCACGAGCGGATAACCGACTGCTTGGCTGCTTTGTCGCTGCAAATATGTTGCGGCAACACCACAGAGCAGGAACGTGGATTGAGTACGATTGAGTTTAAGACCCCGAGGCTGCATGTTCAACTGCCACTAGCGGCATGTTGCAGCCAATGGCAACCGCACATACAATGGAGACCAAGAATGCTTACCCCTCGCTCCCCCATCCCCTGCCCCCACCACTTTTGCAAAAATCACGAAGTCCAATGTCTGCCAGTCAAGATAATAGTTCGCAGCTTCGGGCTTGGCTTGCAGCTGCCCCGTAGGAATCTGCACATCCCGTGGACCTTCACCCGATAACAAGATGTCCAACCTCAGTGTCCTCACCAGCCTCGCAAGCCCTGAAACAGTCAGACCAAAATAGGGGCACTCCCAACGCTCGGGGGCTTGGAGTATTGCAGGTTCAACACAATCTCGAAGATGGCTTACATACCCGACGCTGGAAAGTAACTCCCTGAACTCGAGATCCATTGACCTCCACCCCCCCCCCACCCAAAATCGAGGAATCCCCGTTTTGGAATAACAGGCTCCACCACAGCACCCTGCTTTGACCGGGATTTGACCACTTTCAGGGTGTAATTAGGAGTTTAGGGCTTAGGAATGTGGGATTGAGGGGTTGAGGGTTCAAGGGCATATAAGCCGCACAAGGTTGCTGGCCTCAACCCGGCAGTCACAAACGCTGCCCAAGAGGCGGCGCTGTAGCTCTTGCAGCCCGCGGAAGATCAGCCCCACCCGAGCCTGAGGCAAGCATTCCCCTGGAAGAAGAGCTTATCCAGATCTAACTATGGAGAGATAACTTTCTGAAGTTATGATTTTGCTCTGTCCTTTTTCATCCTTGTTTAAACAATCAAAATGAGAGTTCGGAAGCAAGTCTGGTCATTGTGATTTCGCTCAAAAGTGTAAGACTCGAAAAGGTGTCAATACGTTCGAAAAGCGCTGCAAAAGACTCATTCATGTCAACGAAGAAACCGTTTGGTTTCAACTGACTTTATATGCGCCATGGTTTCACAATACTCTTTCAGTATTGACTTGTTATAGATGATGTAACTAGTCTGCCAGTGAGTTTCATAGCAGCTCATTACAAAGCAGAGGGGCCCCAAAACAGACATGAAGATAAAGGATCCGTTCTATATCTGAATGTATATATACACATATATAGTATTAATATCTTTTTTCTTCTCATTGTTTCTTCATTTCTGCTTATTCAATTGCATGTCAGTGTACATGTAGATGCTTGCATTTAGAATCGGACATAGTTTCGAAGAACCTTCATGAGGAGGTTCGGGTCTACGCTAGCAGGGTTTGGGTTTTCAGGCGAGGTCTATTCAACCCGGAAGCCGCAACACGCCTATGACGGAACTTCCAAGCCGGAGCCCTCAACGTTCAATACAAGGCTTGGTTGTCTCACCGCCCTCCCCCGGCTCAATAGCATGTACACCCACACCCGAAAGTCTCAACTTGGGACAACGTACGGCTCAGAAGGTCCTTGAATACCACATGCCTTGGTTCCTCCCCTGAAGCTGCCTACGTGCCTCTACATAGAAATACCGAACCTAGAATCACGCCAGGAGCGCCCCAGCATCAGGGCTTAGTCACCACAAGCAAACCAAACCCCAAAACTGTTCACCCAATGGTTGCAGACTGTTTCAAGGTGCCAGGGAAGAACATCTATAGCCAAGCAACCCTATGCATCCTAAACACTTAAACTTTACAACCCTAAACCCCGCCCTAAACCCCCCAAACCCAATAAAAAGCCCAACGGGGCTGGCCCAAGCGGCCCGGTTGATGGAATTCGACAAAAGGCCCGCGTTGCCCAGCCTTGAGTTTAAACTCCATGCAGATAGGAGTTAAGTATTGGAGGGATGGTTTACGGCTTTGGGGCTTGTTAAGGACTTAGGGTTTCAGTTTGTGTGTGTGCGCGTCTGTATGTCTGTGTGTGTGTCTCTCGCTCTCTCTCTGTATCTCCCTGTGTGTGTGTGTGTGTATGTGTGTATGTGTGTATGTGTGTATGTGTGTATGTGTGTGTGTGTATGTGTGTGTATGTGTGTGCATGTGTGTGTGCATGTGTGTGCATGCAATTGCATGTATGTGTATGTATATGTGTGTGTGTGTGTGTGTGTGTGTGTGTGTGTGTTTGTGTGTGTGTGTGTGTGTGGGTGGGTGGGTGTGGGTGGGTGGGTGTGGGTGGGTGGGTGGGTGGGTGCGGGTGTGGGTGCGGGTGTGAGTGTGAGTGTGGGTGTGCGTGTCCTGCGTGTGTTGTGTTTTGTTTGTTCATGCCCAGGATTTAGCTTGCGCTTCAGGGTTGTATGGGGATTAGGGTTTTGGAATGTAGGTCTGTGGGAATGATTTCTCCATTCCCTTCTAGGCCCCTAAGCAACCACTGAAAAGTACGAGGGCAAGGTTTCGGGGTGCCATCGCAATCCATTTGTAGCACTCTTATAGAAATTGAGTACCCGTGGACTCTCTGGGTAAAGCTGGAGCACTTTCGGCCCTGACTGAACACGCAAAGCATGTTCTTTTTTGTGGGTCCTTTTGGGGGGGCACACAGGCCCTGCCCTCGCCTCCGGTAGCACAAGGTTCGGCTGTGGTTCACGGTTTGGGGGCTTGTGACGGGCCATGGCGTTCGGACTAAGGTCTCAGGGGTGCAACGCCGGTTCATGGTCTGGGCTGTGGGGCAAGGTTTGGGTAGTTTCGGGATTAGGAGGGGTTTTCCTGCACCTCTCCCTTGAGCTGGCTCCTGCTTTAGGATAGGACTCGAGGCGTTGTGATAGCAAGTCAAACACGTCTGAGACAACTCATGAGCAAGCAAACTCACAAAATCCTACACTCCCTACCCCTAAACTCTGTACCTAAACCCCACCACGCACAAAAACCTTTCTGAAGATGAGGGACTACCATCAAGCTGCCATGATCTTGTCAAAGTTTTAAGGGTTTCAGTTGTGATGATGTGGGGCTTCAGAGGACTTGGGACCAAAGCCTACATGCCTCGAGCCTTCGAGGCACTTGTATTTCACTCTTGCAAGCCTCTCAACCCATGGCGAGCCCAAGCTCTCCACTGCACGCGGTGAGAAGTCCTCCAAGTACCCTAGACATAAGGTTCTAACAAAAGTGTTAACGGCATTCTTCTTGTTGTTCCGTTCCTGTCCTAAATACGCTTAGAGAAACCCACAGCTTTTAGCTATCCTAACAACCCACTTATAACTTCTGGAAAATGCTCATGAACCCCCAAACACACCGTAACCTGCGCTGAGATATTGCCCGGCCGCATGTCAGTGAAGCCGTCCAGGGACATGCACATGGACTGCGCAAAATGGTGTTGGTGACTTCTTCTTGCTCTCGAGAATTGAAGGTGTTTCGGAGTGCTCAGAGATGAACATCGATATCTTCGGGTTAAGGCGCTATGGAGGCTTGTGCTACAAACTTCATGAGCATGTTTAGAAGGGGCCTGGGCGGTCCAATGTTCAACCTTAAAGTCCTAAACCCTAAGCCCGAAACCCTGAACCCTAAACCCCAAACCCTAGAGTGAGCTCTTCTTATGGTTCCCGCTGTTTCTCAAACCACTGGCACACAGCCATTCGGCTCCATGCTCTCTGCAGAACACATGCAAGTACTTGCATGAGAAAAGCATGGTGTTGACCAAGCGAACCATACGTAAGGCTGGCCATTATCCTTATTGCTGGCACTTATGAGAAGACTGCAATCCAAAGTGCAAAGTGCAGGTTGTTCGAAGTAGGCTCCCGTCACTAGATCCCGTTCACAACGAAAGCCCTGAAGCGTGATCGCCAGCTCAGAACAGCACCCACAAGTCTTTCGACGGGCAACTCAAAGTTTGAAGAATCCATCGTGCAAGTGGGGATTCCTGTGTATTTTGGTATGTTCCCAATAGACTCAGGGTACCGCAACGCGATCAGGACTCTGCCCTCAGCCCTCATGCCCTGAAATCATCCGCACTCTACCTGCATTACAGCCCTAAATAGCCCCGAAGCCACAGGCCCGCCTGCTTCTGAGACTTTACGGCCGTGACCTCCACCATTGCCCCCCGATGCCGGCGTCGGTCACGCTCCACATTGCGTGCACCTGTGCGGCAACGGCGGAACCGAAACGAAGGCCGGGGTTTAGAACTGGGTGCTAGGCCAGATTCAGCTAGGGGCTCAGGCTTGAAGACGCGTCGTTTGAGGTTATGTTTGGTATGCCCTTGGACTTTGTGCCACGATGAATATATGGCTATTTTGCAACTGTATGAAACCAAGCAGAAATCCAATACACAACGTTAAAGCGAGACAACCCTAGACTACTAGGAGCACAGAGCTTGGGGCCCGCGAAGGGCTTGAAACTTATTGGGGTGCAGGCGTGGCTTCGTAATCCCCCAGTAACTCAGGAGGAAACTTCCAAGCGCCGAAGCAGGGCTTTGAAGCTTTAGGGCTTCGGGGTTTCGGGGCTTCTGGGATGTGGATTTTGAGGTTCAAGGTGGTTAAAGGAAGTTAGAAATGCATGGCTGGGGTTGGGGTTCAAAAAGCGCGTTGATGTAAAGGCTACAAGCCCTTCTGAAACCCTAAACCCTATAAGCCCACTCTCTTCACAGCCATCATCGTCCCTATACAGTAAATTCCCCTACAGTCCCGGTAATGCCTTTAACCCTTCATAACCCCCCAACATCCCTGAACCTAAGGCAAGGTGCTGCCAGCATAGGCGGTGAAGATCGAGCGCAGCCTCTTTGTGCCAACAAAGAGTGGTCTTTGGGAGCACTTTAGGACTACTTTATGGGTGAGCCTGCCTTTAGGGTTGAGGACTTGGGGCGCGCTTGTCAAGTTGTTTCCACAGCTCTGGCTGGGACTTGGGTTTTTTCAGGTTCAACGTCCAGGCTGGCTCCTCCGATGCAAGGCATGGGATGTCAGTTGAAAGAGGGATGCCTTCCCGCGAACTCATTCAGGACCTCATCCAAGGAATCGTCCACGATGAGTGCGTAAACCATCCTGGTGTGGTGAAGGGTCTATAGGAGGCAGGTCACCGTCCGAAGTATCTCTCTCTTCAGCCAGGGCCAAGTCTGACGTAAGCTATCCAGTTGTGGGTTCTTCGCCAGCTTGCTGGCAAAACAAAAAACTGAACAATAGCAAGCGCATACTTCCAAAAGTTATACCAAGCTCTTGTCCACCCTCATTAAACCCTACAAAGCCGGCCCTCACGGCCAATCTTGCACAGTCGACTCGGAACCCTGAGCACGTCTGGATTTAGTAGAGTATGAGTTTAGGGTCCAGGGTGGTATGGTGACCATGAACTCTTTAACCCGTGCTTAGCCTACACCACGTTATGCTAATGGCCCCCTTACCTGCGGGTTCACGAAGTTAAGCACGGTTACAAGTTCTGGCTACAAAAAATAGGTATCTTTCCCATAACTTACAACTGCCCATGTACTGTAAGCTGGAAGTGGTCCTACTCTTTTACATGCTGGTGGAAATCACATTATACCTGCCTAGTACACAAAAGACGTCAGGCGGCCCATACCAGTAGGGTTCGGACACTGTTCTCCAATGTTGTGATTGTTTCACCATGTGGATGTTGAGGCTGTGGGTTTTTGCTTGGTAGCCCGATGGAAGCGAAGCGGCTCATCTCGCGGCGTGCCCGCCATGGGCAAGTGATGCTCAATGATGAACTCCAGCTTGTCTTGATACGCCTGGAGAGAAACCCTTACAAGAGGGAGCAGCAGTTCGCAAATTTCGGTTCTGTATACAGATGCCATTCAAGCAGGCTTATCATTTAGAACAGGCCGCACACTTTTTCTATGTTCCCTGGACCACAAACGTTCCGTGAACTTAACGACGATGTTAGACCCGAATCGTTGCTCCGAAGTTTCCGGGATGGTATCGCAGAAGTTGACGTGATTAATGGCATGACTGTACTCAACTTCTCACGGCCTCCTAGACTTGTGCACACACTTTTCCTGTGCATCGCTCCCTCCATGAACCACCACCGCATGCACGACCGAATACACATATCTTTTTCAGCTGCACAGGGATGAGCTAAATTGAGTCGAAACTTAGCTGAAGCAAGTTTGATCCATAGCGTCCTCAAGCCCCAAATCTCCCAAGCCCAAACCGCCAGACGCGTTTGGCAGCCGGGCGGCGGTGGGCTGAAAAAGCTCCAGCTTCGCCCTGCAGGCCACGGTCAGCAGCACCTGGGACTCTGAGGGTGTGGGCCTTTTGTGGCTTTCTGGCCAGACTTGGGTGGGTCTTGGAGTAGGGGTTTAGGGCGTTTATAGAGCTTAGGGGAGTTTAGAGCTTTGGTCATGCGCCGCAGCGTCTTCTTGATTGGGGAGGGAGCTGCGGCTTTCTTCGTCTTGTCCTGCTCTTGGTGATTCAGAAGCCAGCATAAGAGGCTCTCTCCTGCACGGTGTCGAGTCTAATTAGGGCTCCATCCCCCTTCGGGCACCTCCACGTACATCTCCAGGGACAGGCCCTGCTCCACGAGGGAAAGAGCGCTGGCGTCCTGGCGCTTTTCCAAGAGCAAAGTTGGGAAATCAGGCCTTGCGAAGATTCGGCTGTATAGGGTTGAGGTGAGGGGCTTGGGATTTGCCCAAGTTCAGTTCCTGGTGTGGAAACAGGCTGATTCTAAGTTTGAACCTCAGACCTTAGAATTCCGCAGCTCAGAGGATTGGCAGCTGAGATTTCACTCCAGATGCGCAGCCAAAGCCCGAAACCACAGCGCCACAACCACCCACCAAGAATTGAACACCCCGGGTGCAAAAACAACTATACACTCTGTAAACCCCAAACCTTCTACCAAAGACCATGAAACCGAACACTTTCTTCTTGTTAACCCCAGGACTATTGCAAGCGCCGAAGCCCACGACTGAGGGCTCAGAAAACCTCAGCAAGCCCTTGAACAACACAACACGTCCTCCTGCCCAAAGTTCATGGCGTGGGACAGCCGGACCTGGCATACTGGATGTTCACTCACGATTCGAGGGATTAGGGGCTTCAGGGGCTGGGGACTGGAAATTGAAGGGTTTCGGGGCTTTGCCAGCCTCGTTGAAGATCTCCTCCAAATCCAAGGGAGTTAGCCTGTGCAGACCCACTATGAGCCAGAAAGCTGTTGGAATGCCTTTAGATACTCGAGCCTCTCGCACTTTTAGTGTGTATAGGAATAAGAGTAGCTACCATCGAGCATGAAGGAACGGATCTCCCTTTTCAGTGCCGCACAGAAGGGTGAATGTTGCTGCTCTTATGCCCGCCACAATATGACCAGCACTGCGTCGGGGTCTCATGACACAGGGCCGACTTTTGATACTAGAGACCCAGTCCTATAGTTCCAGAATGAACTCTGGAGCCCTGAGCTTTGTCTGCGCAGGGACACATCATGGACCTTTCAACATCCCAATGCTCCAGCTCGTTGTCTTGGTGGTCATTGTGTGCCTTTAATTCCCCCCACACACACAAAACAAACAACAGGAAGTTATCTAGCAAATGTACAACATATTATATATGTATATACACATGGATGACATGTGTGTAGTGTGAGTTAAGTGTGCTAAGTGCGTGTGTCAGTGTAAGTTTACGTGCAAGTGTAACTCCCAGGCCATGGAACTTCGTGACGTGGAGGCGACAGTCCCGGTACAGCCGCATCAAGCTCCGCTGGGACACGACCAACACCTCAGACGCCCAGGGAGTGGTTCAGGTCTAGCAGCGGATCCCTATAGTCCATGTACAGGTAAGAGCCAGTAAAACTAGATATGGGCCATGCCCGAATTCAGGAAACTCCCGCAACCACGAACTCACACTAAACTCTGGCCTAGATCGTCCACTTGTGGTGCCGCAATGGAAGCGTGCTCGCCCCCGAAAAAATGCCAAGGAGGGCCTTCTGGCAAGCCTACTTCAACGCGAGAACTGTGACCCTTTTGGTGCATCGAAGACTCAACTCCCGGCTTCGGATTTAGGGACGGAAAGCCCTAAACCCTAAGCTACAACCTCCCGAACTCCAAACCCCTTTAAGCCTTTAAGCCTTCAACAACCCAACCCAAGGAGCCTGAAAGCTTAGGCAAAGCCAAAGCACTTGGCCGCCCTCCCCAGAAATGGAGGCTCGGCTGGACCTGGCCATAGAGCCACCCTGGAAAGCACCCGGGCATATGTTACTACATCACTGGATTGTTCTCATATTTTTTGATACTATATTATATCATGTCGCGTACTGGAATTTTCCGTTTGTCTTGTTATTACGCAGGTATGATATAATGTATTACGATACTGGCAGGGTGAAGGAAAGCTAAGGGCTTGGGGTCTAGGGCAGCAGCACGGGACTTGCAGCGTTGAGAAGTTGGGAGATGGAACCCCAAAGCGCAACGGATCAAGGCATGCTCTCTCCCAGCATCCCTTACATCATCCAGCCTCGAAAGCCCTCAAGCCCGAAACAGCAATGACAATGGCACTGCTGCAGAGTTGGAACAGAAAGAGACAGAGCAAAGAGAGAGAGAGAGAGGGAGAGAGATCGATCGCAGGCCTCTGCCATTGTAAACCCTAGCATGTAAGCCGTAGTGAAAAGCGTGCATGGGCTCGGGAAGCAGGGCTCGCAGCATGTAGAGCTTTAGGGGCTCTGGGGCCAGTTGTCCAGTGGTTGTGACTTGATGCAGAGAATCGGGGGCTCAGCAAGGAACCGGTTGACGTCACAAAGTCAGACTAGACACTGGCTGACAGATGCCCCCAAAGCCCCAACCATGATAAACGATGGCAACGTCTAGACAAAGACCTTGTCACCCCAATTTTCCCGAACCCCAAACCCTGACAAAGCTCTTGGAGCCTGCGACCCTTCTTCTTCGCCTCCGTCGGGACTGTCCTGAGATGCAAGGGCTCGGCATGGAGGGCTTCCAGGACACAGGACGCTAAATGGGGTAAAGCGTTGCAAGATCTATTAACTCAACTTCTCCTAAACTCCTTTTGAAGAATTTTAAAGCGACGTTCATGGCCCCTAATCATGAATATAGAGCCGCTGGACTTAAAACAGATTTCCGAACACAGTCGAAGCCAACCTGAACGGCCCAGACTCTGAACCCGAACGTCTTTCTCCGACGTCTACACGAACCACCGAAGCCCCTTCATGCCCAAAGCCAGCAATCTCAGCTGCTGCACAAAACCAGACCAACAAAATCCTCAAGGCCTGAAGGCTGAAAACTTCACAGGGGGTTTTGGGTTGATGGTGCCAAGGATTACGCTTCGCGGCTTGAAAGTGGGATGCACTTGAGGTCGCGCAACCCCAAATACCAGAAAGCCGCATTTGTACTTGAGTTGTTTTTTATGTTAGCACGAAGTGCTTTTGAACTTGCCTTAGTTGGTAGGGGCCTTCTCGTGCGCGGGGCCGCCGTTAAAGAGGGTCCTGAACACTAAGCTTCGACCCTGAACTCCGAAGCCATATCTGCAAACCTTTCGCTACCACACGGGGAGCCTTTGGGCTGGTCCCCGATTAGTGGTCCGGTCCCATGCTGGGACTCGATTACTGCAATCTATCATGGTGTCCATGTGACAGTTGGGGGAACAACAACATCTAGTCGTCCAGCAAGGCGATTGAGTTGTCAGAATCGACCCCTTCCCGCCAAGCTCCATGTTTCGACTTGACTCGACTGAGCCTCATCCCTCATATGCCCTATAACTATATACCCGAACTCCCCGAATCCCTACGCCCTAAACGATTTGCAGAACCAGCCCTTCCGGCAAACGAGCAGCTCCAGACCAGAGAACGTGCCTCGTCCGTAGTGGCGGAACCTTGCAGGTCTCAGAATTTACGGGCCTTAGACAGCTAAGTCAAGCCCTAGCCCACGAGATCCTTGTAGCGTTGGGGGCTTAGGAAGTGTAGGAAGTGTAGGAAGTTGAGGGATAAACCGCCCAATTCTTGAGGAGCGGAACTGAGGGTGTGTGGTGAAGGCTTCAGGGTGGGCCCAAAAACTGCAGCTTCTGGCTGTGGGGTTTGGGATACCTGTGTAGGGTTTAGGGTTTAGATGAGGGTAGGTCGTAGGCAAGAAGGTGCCATCAGGGCAACGGAGACAAGATGTTGTGGTAATATCACCATGCGCAGAAGAAAGACAGAAACTTCCAGGCAAAGATCTACCACGCGGGTCCGCCAATGCAGTTCAACAAACTGAGGCGTTATGAGTCAATCCTGTTGCAGTTCGCAATTCACAAGTGTCAGCTGTGTGACGTGTCACGGATGACAGAGATGCTCCTTCTCAGAAGCTCCTGGCATGGGGTCTAGGTAGGGTCTCTCAGACCACAAACATAGCGAAGTTGTGGCGTGAGACATGACTCTGGCATAGCTCTGACCCTGAAACTCCTAGCCTAAACCCACTCCTGGAGAGCCGACTTCTCTGAGCTGATCACCTCGGAGGATGCTCTTGCCCACTAAACCTCTTGAACAAGAAGTGGGTAGTTGGATGTACTTGAGGTTCGGGCCGGGGGTCGGGCAATTGAACTGTGCAGTTGGAGCCATCAAGACCGTGCGACACCGATCGACGAACAGACGTCAGCCTTTTTTTAGCCATTGGGTGGCACCTTGACAAGAGCACTAGAAAACGGTAGTACTGTAAGTGCTCCGAACGTGCCTTGCGGTAAACACAATAACTCTAAGCACGTTATGATATGAGACTTCCTTCCGAAGCCCGGAGTTGTCTCGTGGCCGAGCTGCCAAGTCTGAGGACATGCGTCCACTGGATCCTGCCGGCACCGACCGCACTCAAAAAGCAACCCCGACAGTCCTGTAAACTCTACTCTTAAACTCTTCAGCCCTAAAGTCGTAAACCCCGCAACCCAGCCTCAAATCCGTGGGTGGAAACGAAGGCTTCGTTCGCACCCTTACATCCCTCAGCCCCCACTATGGCAATGAGAAGCCCCGCTCCCTTTTTGCAAGCTGCGACAGCGGCACAAGGTATAGCTTACAACCATGGTGGTCATGCGAAGGAGCCAATGAGTTCTCTGTTCACTAGGTGGTGAGGTTCCTGACAATCGGGACTTGGGACTGCGAATGCAACACGCGGGCATGACACAAACTACAGCAAGACAGAAGCCCCCTCGTATTCTGCCAAGAGACCTTCTTGAGAAACACGAGTGGCCCCATCCCCCCACTCAACACCGTAACATCGCACGAGACCCTAGAAAAGAGGCAATTGATCTGATGGCTGATGCCTCCGACCTCCTAAACTAGGAGTTAGAAGCAAAACTGCTGCTTGCGGCGCCTGCATCTGGAGGAAGCCTGACATTCTGGACTCCGGGAGGGGGGCGGGGAGGGAGGTGGGAAGCGTATGGTGATGTTGCATTCCGGTCACATCCTCCGTTCATGCCACACCCACTCTTCGGGTCTAGATGAGCCCAAAACTTTGGGATCATTGTCCGAACTTGCCCTAAAGTGCCAACCGAACAGTAAACCTCCCAAACCCGAAAGCAACTTCCCCAGGATCCCATCCCAAGGCCACCGATCCCTTGCTCTTGCAGGCTTGAGACGGGCCTTCAAGGAACTTCAGGGTTCCACTCGTCGTTGAAGGCTTTAGGGTTAGCGCCGCGCCCTCCTATAGGCAGTAAACCTGAAACCCCGAGGTCCTCGATCAGATAGGTTCATAACCATCATAACTGCAGCATGACAACAACAAGAAATCAGACCCATACCCCGTGGGCCTAGATTCCCAGATCTCTGATCAATCACTCACGCTGCCCAAGAATTCCCCCCCCCCCCCCCCACCCGCAATCCCCTGTCCACCTCTCTAAAACCCGCAAGCCTGAGCCAAGGCCCACGAGGATTGAAGAATTTCGAGCTGCAACCTGAAACTTAAAACCCTAACCTAACCCCTCTCCCAATACGAGGAAGAAGGCCTCTTCATCTCCCTCTCGACCAGCGCCTGGTGTTTCAGGTTTAGGGCTTGTAGGATGGCGTTGGGATTGACAAGTGGCGCCAAAAGGCTTGTAGGGCTTTTGGAGGGAACTGAGAAAACTGCACGCGTCAGAGCCGAAAATGCTGAACACCAGAACACGAAACCCGACAGACCCCAAACCCGCCCCCCCATGGTCAAGAACCCTTGGGAGCCTTTACTCGATCCGCCGAGATGAGGTCGCCGCGAACCTCCGTGGCACGGACCTTCTTCACCAGGTCCAGCATGCTGCAAGGCTCCCCTGGGCGGCGGGGTTTGGGCCTAAGGGCCACCTCAGGCACCTCAAGCCTTTGCATATGTAACTCAAGTTAACTTCGGCCCCGAAGACGAAGGCCTTGACTGCCAAAAGCCAAAGGCCCGGAATCCCAAGTGCGAAGGTCCGCCAAGACGAGCCCATTTCTGCGTCAAAGGATGGGATATTGATCTCTGACCCTGACTTACACCACCTTGAAGCTGCAACCCTCAGCCCTCACTCCCCCCCACCAGGGAACCGAATCTAAGGAAGCCACCCTTGGATCGTTGCACCAGCATTTTGAGGGCAAAGGTCCTGGAGTTGATTTTTGCTTCCGGATGTGAAGGTGTGATCCAAAGTGAGGAAAGGCTGGGGCTCGGGGCTCGGGGGAGGGGGCCGTTTGCGCATGTGCGTCTTGACGGTGTTGGCAGGGGTTCCTGCAGCGCTGGGCTAAACCCCTACATCTGATGTGCTGGTATGAACCAGCAGGCGGAGCAGGAGCCAAGTCATCAATTGCTGCCCATCCCATCCTCAAACAAAAGCGGAGTTCTTGTCACGCTAGCCATTGTGCCAGCACAGACCCAGAAAGTGAGAGACCATAATACGACAAAAAGCGACGACCGTTTTGCATTTCACGAGAACAGAAGTCCAGTCTCACATTTCCTGAACCAGGCGCGCGGTGGCATCGACCTCTCTTCTGCAGAAGTTTCTTGAAAGCAAACTTCCAGGACTTCGAGAAACGTCTCTAGCCCGATACAAGTTCGGTTTAGGGCTGTGGGTTTAAGATCCCAGCGGCCTCTTTGGATTCAGAGATTATGATTAGAATGAGCAGAATGCTGTTGTGGTTTCGGGTTTTCAGGGATTCCAAGTTGGGATGCTGGGTGGAACAGTACTTTCTGATCTGAACCCTCCCAAGCAGTATGGCGCTCGGTGGGCACACCAATCGTCGAAAAAAAACGGAGG